GTTCCATGATTACACAATAAAGGGGGCCCCGTGGGCTCCAGAACCAAGGCCAGTTCTGTGCATGCTGTGCAATGGGGCAGGAGAAGACAGCATGGGGCAGGACACATGGTGGGGGGCGGGGGAAGCGACGATGGAGAAGAGGTGGCTTCAAGGACCAACTCGGTCTCTTGCCATTTTTTCTCTGGAAGCACCTGCAGGTGCGCCCCCAACCCACCCACCAGTTCTGTAGCAAAACCAGCTATGGCACTGGTCCTTCCAGCCCCCAGCTGACCCTGCAGACGCGCTGGCACAGTTGCGTGCAGAGGGCATCGAGACCCCAACATCAGGTGCCCTGCCCTCCACACAGATGAGTCTGAGCACCCCCAGCCAACAGTGCTGATGAATTCCTCTTGCCTCTTGGGCATCATTTCCTCATAATTATAGTGGAGAGGAGACAGGGAGCCCCACTGAGAAAGAACGCAGAGCCCCATGCCGGAGCCCCAAGGCGAATCCTCCCTGAGGACTACACTAGAGCAGCACAATTTTTTCCAGGACGTAGAGGAAAGATAACATCTGATTTAATTCCTAGGAAATTGCCTTTTTACCCACCTGTGTAAGCCTGTATTTAAATGCTAATATTTTTGGCCTGCTGGGACGCCACATTTATTTTCTTCCTGCGCAGCCACAAAAATCATTTATTTATGAGAATTCCAGCTCCTGCCCTCTCTCCTGAATTCCTCACTTTCATTTTCATCTACCAGCTGGATGTTTCTCTCCCCAAGACATGGGGGATCTGTAACCGTCTCCCTCCCCACCTTCGACCCTCTGTATACCTGTCCTGTTCTGTTTCTAGGACTGCTGGTGGCTTTTGACACCCAGGCCCCAGACTTTTCCTCAGAGATCAGTCCCCAGTCCCTTTGATTCAACCTCCTCCCCTGGGGGGAATCACCACATCTGACTGAGCCTCCACTTCCTCTCCTGTAAAATGGGTATAATAATACCAACCCATGAGTTTGTTATAAGACCAGGATAATCCACATACAGCCCCCAGCACAGTGTCTGGTAACAGAGTAACAGATCATGGTGATTATTTTTATAGCGACCATGACCACCCCACCCTCACCATGGAATCTGCCCTCCTCTTAGTGGTTGTTCTATCATGAGCTGTTCAGTGAGCTCTGAGGGGACTCCGTCCTGCTGATTAGAAAACACTGACTGGTCGCTGTTTGCTTCAGAGCATTTTCATGCTCTGAAATTCTCTACCTTATGAGTGTGTTTGCTTGTTTATGGTCTGAGCACCCCTCCTCCAATCTACCTCTAAAATGCAGTTTCCGCAAGGAAAGGGATTTTGTCTTATTTACTGGCCTAGCCCCAGTGCCTGGCACATAGTGGCATTCTAGAACTTCAGAAGGGAAGACACCTCAACTGGGCTGGTAATGCTGGTAATGAGGCTCCTGACCCCAGCTTCAGAGGTGCCCTGCTCTGCCCTGTTCGGTGTGTTGGGCTGGGACTCTGCAAGCTGCCTTCCTGCATTGCTGCAGGCTTGTTCCAGGCAGCTTCTGCTCCTGCAGACCCCACTCCACAGCTCTTTCCTCCACCCCTGCCTGTAGGTTCCCTCTCGGCAGTTGGTGCCAGTTTCTGAAATGTATTTTTTGAACGCCCAGAATCAGCATCATGACTCCCTCTGAGAGGCACCAGCACGAGCAGCAGGCACCTGCTCCTCAGAATCTGGGTCTTAGCCTCATGGGGTCCCCCCTGCAGGATTGAAGGTTCTGAGGATCCCAGCTCTTTCCTGTCTCTCCCCCGTCCCCAAGCATTGGAGCTGCTCCTGCAGTCACCTCCATGAGTCCTCAGTGCCCCCTTTTAGCCTGTTTGATCTTCCAATACCTGCTGGACAAGTCTTTATATGTAACTAGAGGCCCAGTGCACGAATTCATGCATGGGTGGGGTCAGGTCAGCCCTCCCCAATCGGGGCTGATCGGGCCAGGCCAGCCATGGGGAGGGGCCTCGGGCCATGGGTGGGCTGGCCCTGCCCCCTGGTCACACTCCAGGTTGAACTCCTGGTGGAGGGGTCAATTTGCAATTAGCCTTTTATATAGAGAGACTAGAGGCCCGGTAGGATTCTCACTGTTAAGTGGGGGGGGGGCGGTCCCCCAGCACAGTGACACTGTGACTGAACCTGTGCCTGGTCATGCCCCTCTCCACCCCGCCTCCCAGCCCACAGCCATGGCCACAGAGGGAACTCAACTCCTTCCAGGATGGATGTCTCCATTCTCTCTCCACGATGCTTCAGGAGACAAGGGTTTAGGATCAAAACGGACAGCTGCTTGTTTCTTGCACTATTAAGGCAAACTTTCTCTCTCACGCTGCCAGTCACTTGAATTATGAACCCTGCGAGATTTGAAATAAGTTTCCAATATCAAGTGGTCTTGGATTCAAATTCATCCTCAGCTGTGTGGCCACCTACAAGCGACTTTCCCTCTCTGGGCCTGTTCCCTCATCTGTTGAATGGGTAGCATAACAGTACCTGCCCTTTCAGGCTTCCAGTAAGGATTAGAAATGGGGAACGTAGGTACTTGGACCAATTGCCGGCACCTGGAAGGCACTCGTGGATTCTGCCCTCACTGTTATCATTGTGGGGATGGCCTCTCAACCCGCTGAAGGCCAGCACGCTTGTCCTCTCTGAGCCTTGTACTAGGGAGGTCGGCGCACTCTCCTGGGCCCGGATGCCACCTGGAGCCCCCACCTGCCTCTCCTTCCCCCTGGAACTGGCATGGCCGGTAGATGCCTGTAGCTGGTTCCAGGTGGAGAGATAACTTGGCCTTCCCGAGTCCCTTTGGCTGATGCACATCTGTGTCAGGGAGGCTAATTACAACCCTGCTAATGGGCTGATTTCCCTGGTGCCACCTGAATATTCCAGGAGCACGTGGCCTCTCTTTCCTTGCAGTCACGTGTTCCTTGAGCAGAAAACAATTCTCTCCTGTTGTGCATTTCTCTCGGGCACAACTTGCCTTCCTTTGCCGAGAATGTCCTTGGCACACTCACCACCTTGCCCACATTTCTGGGGGATTTTGCTGTGTTATGTTGTGGATGCTGCTGACCCTCTCTGGGCCTGAGCCGTTCATCTAAGACTGAGTTCCAATACTTGATGCCTCGCTGAGATCAGAGGAGACTCTGAAATGTTCCCTGTTTGAGTTACTACTAAGGGAGGTTAAAATCTGGAGCTTGGTGCCATGATCACCAAGCTTTATCTGCACGGCCTCTACTCCCCTGTAGAATTGTTTTAGGGCACAGAGGCAGGGGTGGCAACGCCACCAGCAGTGGCAGCAGTAGGAGCAGTAGTCACAACCTTTGCCACTGACAAAATGGCTTACTCCAGCAGAACCTATGTTAAGCACATGGACTTCATTTAAATCTGCCCAAATCCTGTGAGGTAAGGATCATTATACCCATTTTGCAGAAGAAAAAACTGAGGCTCACCTGCTAGCTCAACAGCTGCTAAATTGCAGACCTTAGAATCCCAGGTCTGTCTTTGGCCTTTGCACTTGTGGTTCCTGGGCCCTAACAGTGATCACCCCAGAGAGCAGTATGGCCGGTTTGGGGCTCTCTGCTTAAATGTCATTTTTATAGAGAGAAGCCTTCCTCAATGACCCTGTGAAATAGGAGCTCCTGTCACTCTCCATCCAACTGGGCTTTCTTTTTCTTCAAAGCACAAGCCTGTGTATAGACACAGGTGTTGACTGACCTGTCCTTCCACCACGCGAATCTGAGCGCCATAAGCCCAGGGACGTTGCTTTGTCCACCACCATACACGGCGCCTGGAGCCGAGGCCAAGGTGATGGCATGGTTATACATACTTCACAGGCGCAGACCGAACACATGAGCAGCTAAACACCTGGGGCCAAGGCCCGTGCTCTTAACCAGCATTGGCCAGACCCTTCGGATAATAGGTGCCACTGTTTCTTTTCCCCCAGGAAGCCATTCAGATGTTGGGATTTCAGATTCCTGAGCTGGAGTTCAAATGCAGACACACACCCTCCCCCAAAAGAAACCACACGTAGAGCGTGAGTTCCAGCTCATCTGGCATTTTCTCAGCTGCTAGTCTCCATTCTCTTCCTCTAAACCAGTGGTTCTCAACCCTGGCTGCACATTAGAATCACCTGGGGATCTTTTTAAAATCCTGATTTCTGGGCCCCATCCTCCGGAAATTCTGTTTCTTTGTTACTAATGTTGTGGCCCCACCCCATAACAAAGAAACAGAATTTCTGGAGGATGAGGCCCAGAAATCAGGATTTTAAAAAGATTCCCAGGTGATTCTAATGTGCAGCCAAGGTTGAGAACCACTGTTTTATGGCATCTCTGAGGACTACTTTCTTCATGGAGGGCACTAATCACTCTCCTCCCCTATCCTGACCGGAGCACACGGGCTCTCACCTGCTCTGCAGGGTGGAAGCTGATACGGAGCAGCTGACTCCAGTTGGGGCACCTGGAGCAGGAGGCAGCCAGAGGCAGGAGAAAGGCCGGCCGCGTGCCTCGCTGCCCACTCTGCCCGACTTGTCCGTGATGCGCCAGGTCACTGAGAGGCTGCCGGCAAACTTTCCACTGGGTGCCCAGCAGCAGCTTCCTGCTCTGTGGGGAGTTCCCCCAGCTCTGATCAAGGCACAAAAAAATCGATTAGATCAAGCAGGAAGGAGGAGGCAGGAGGGCCAGCCGGGAAGCTGCGGAACGGAGTGTTTTGGCGTAGCAGTCCCCTCCCTTCTGACTGGAGTATTAATTGCTACATTGCCACTGCCTGGAAGAAAGACAGCCAGCGGAGCCTGGGAGAGCTCCCGCTCCCTCCCTGCTCGCTCCGCTGCACGCTCCTCCTGGTTCCCTCGGAGCGCCCTGCGCCCTGGCAGCGCTGGCCCAGCCCTGGCATCCCCAGGTCCTCCTGTGGGTAGCACTTGAGTGGAGGGAAGGAGAGTGGAAGGGAGCAGACAGCGTGCCCTGCAGGCTCTCTGGATGCAGAAGCCGGGCTCCCTGCAGAGGCAGCTGTGCGGTGCCAGGAGCTCCCGTGGTGCGTCCCTCTCTCAGGGCTCGCCCAGGCGGGCTCCAGGTGCCAGGGGCACGCAGAGCAGAAGCCTTCGCTTTTGGGCATTGACAGCAGAGCCTGCCTCCCCTCTGCCACCATGAGCGGCTGCTCCAAAAGATGCAAGCTTGGGTTCGTGAAATTTGCCCAGACCATCTTGAAGCTCATCACCGGGACCCTCAGCAAAGGTAGGAAGCCTGGCCCGGACCCTCCTTTCCTGTCTTGACAGATCTGGCTGGTCGGGGTGCCTCGGCGTGGCCAGTGGGGCTGTTCTGGAGTGCTTGTGTTCCAAGGAGGCAGGGAGGGACCGGTGGCTGGGATTTGGGGTTGCTGACAGCCTGGGTCCTGGCCTGGGCGGGCGGGCACCGGGCCAGGGAGCTCAGCTGGCGCTAATTGTCTGGAACTTTGGAAATGGGTTTGGTGGTGTGTGGCCGATCGCTTACAGTCGGGCGGAGGGAGAGCGCCCTTCCCGGAACACTGGAAGCTGCATAGCGTGACTAGAGTTTCAAGAAGTTATCCGCAGAGTGTGTCTTGTTGATAAGAGAGACTTGGTGCGGGGGCTGTGAGTAACTGAGAACGGAGATGCTGGAGGGCCAGCAGGAGGCGGCCCTGGGCCCTGGTGGGGGTGGGATCCGTCGCTCTGGGCTTGATGTACCGAGCTTTCTCGCGGGGTTCCAGCGTGCTGCGTTTCCGGGGCTCTGGTCATCGGTCTGCCTCTTGGACCCCTGTCCCTCCGCATTGCCTGCCTGTGTTGATGTCTGTCCTCTGCTTCTCTAAGAACGGGGGCGGCAGCCAGTCCCCAGGTTTGCCTCCCCGGCAGCCCAGAAAGGGCGGTCGGTCGGGACTACAGCCAGGACTGTGTGTCTGTGACTCAGCCCCCAGGGCAGAGGGGAGGCTGTCTTCTCAGGGGCCGTCCCTGCCTCTGGAGCCCGATCTTCCACCCTGACCAGGGAGGTGAGGCCCTCGGGGACACTCTGGCAAACTTTCTGGAGAGAATATTTAAAGGGACAGCAGCAGCATGATGTGGCTTTGCTGGCTGGAAAAAGATGTCTTTAAAATTCACACCTGATTCAGGAGATGGGGTTATGGGGGAGATGCATTGGACGCAGGAGGCAGGAGATTTGATCAGGATTTTAAAACTTGAAGATGAGCGAAGAGACGGGCCGTGCGTGGCAGCTCTAATAATGACATGGCTCTAACCCAGCTGCCTCGTGGGTCTGGCCTGCTGCAAACTGAGAGGCAGGTGTGCGTGTGTGGTGGGGAGAGAGGGTGAGATGTTGCTATCTACTTTCTCAGGCCCTTTCGTCGCTCCTGTTCTGTCCCCACTGCCCTCCTCCAGGGAGCCCAGGGGGACTGCACCCCAAAGGCTGAGGGTCAGCTGCCTGGCAGAATTATTGGGAGGCCTGCGTGGGATGGACTGACGTGGGGAGGAGCGTGCAGAGGGCTGGGGAGATTGCACAAAGTCCCACCACTCAATCCTCTGAGACAAATTGAGGCTCCGCACCCCCCCCGTCATCTCCCCACCCCCTCCCCCCGCATCTCTGGCACCAGGATCTCAGGAGTGTGGGGTGACGGGCAGCATCTCAGGCCAGTCTCTGCTTCCCAGAAGTGCAGCAGCAAGAGCTTGAGTCCGAGTTTAGAAACCTGGGCAAGCCCCCGCCTCGCTGAGCCTGTTTCCTGGTGTGGGAGATGTGTCCGTTACCTTCGGCCTGTCTACTCCCAGCACTGCCTCGAGGACCCAGGAAGCTGAGACGGGGATTCCTTTACGGAGTGTGTTGCAGTGACCACACATGAGGGTGTGGTCAGGATTGAGATGGGCCTGGGTCTGGGGAGGGTGCCCCACTCCATCCCGTCTACAACCCCAAGGTCAGAAGTTCCTTCATTTAGCTGCAGGTGGGTCTGCTCACTCCAGAGGGATGTTCTGCAGCAGGAGGGGTGAGTGTGAGAAAGTGAGTCCGTCAGAGAGAGTGCTTGCAAAGGGGCGTATGTGTGTGTGTGTGTGTGTGTGTATGAGAAAGAGAGGACTAGAGATGGAGAGAGAGGATGGACAGCTATCTGAATTCAAGAGCATGAAGATGCTATCTTCTGCCTACAATCATTGGCTCAATGTTTGTTTATTACCGACTCTGTTGCACACTCATTACTAGACACAGGACACGTGGATGAATAAGATGCAAGCCCTTGCCCTAATCGGTTTGTCTCAGTGGACAGAGCATCAACCCACAGACTGAAGGATCTCAGGTTCAATTCCAGTCAAGGGCACGTACCTCGGTTGCAGGCTCCATTCCCAACCCCTTGCGGGAGGCAGCCAGTCTCTCATATAGATGTTTCTCTATCTCTCCCCCTTCCTTCCACTCTCTCTAAAAATATCTTCAGGTGAGGGTTAACAAACAAACAAACAGAAAGGATGCAAGCCCTCCATCCAGAAATGGGTATTCAGGTGGGGGCACGGACGGAGGACACAGGCACCGCCTGGACATGACGCTGATGGAGACATGGGGGCCACGGGGCCAGGGAAGGGCAGCCTGGGGCAGAGCTGAGATGAGCAGGGGGCAGGGCTGGGCAGATGGAAGGACTGTCGGGCTCTGCAGAGAAACCCACCAGCGGGTCAGGACAGCCCCTCTCTCCTCTCGGAATCCCAGACACTAAGATCCATGTCGCATGGAAAGTGCTCCATGGGAACCCGCACTGGGGACCCACCCCGGGGACCCGCACCGGGACCTTGTCTTTCCCTGACCTGCCTCAGTCCTGAGCTTTCTGTGGCTGAGGCTCGGGGAGGTGGCCCACAGCCGGTGCCAGGACAGGACCATGTCTCCTAGCCCCGCACAGAGCACCAAGTGTTTACACAGCCTGGCTCTGTGCCAGGCAAGCCCTAGGAAGCTGGTGTACTGCCCACCCCAGGTGTTTGCTAAATATTTGCTAAATAAATGGCTGTGGGAGCAGGGCCAGGCCTGGAGCAGGTGAGCGGAAAAAGATCTAATGCAGTGGTTCTCAACCTTCTGGCCCTTTAAATGCAGTTCCTCAAGTTGTGACCCAACCATAAAATTATTTTCGTTTCTACTTCATAACTGTAATGTTGCTACTGTTATGAATCGTCATGTAAATACCTGATATGCAGGATGGTCTTAGGCGACTCCTGTGAAAGGGTTGTTCGACCACCAAAGGAGTTGAGACCCACAGGTTGAGAACCGCTGGTCTAATGTATAGACCAGCCCTCAGTGGATTCAGATGAGGCTCTGTGTGGGCGTATTACATTTGCTTAAAGATTTGGGGGTTTAATTGTGTTTTTGCTTATTCATTATTTATTGCACTGAGTCCTACGATGGCCGTAATCCAATCCTTAGAAGGCATTTCTTTGTCCCTCTCAGGACTGAGGAGCATAAAGGTACTACAGGACCAGGTGCCCCCTGCTGGTCCTGGGACCACGTATTGTTTCTTAGCTGCCTTGGGCATACCTGGGGGGCAGGGGGAGCCCACAACCCCTTCCCTGTCCTTCCTGTCCCTGAAATCGGCTTCCCCCACTTGACGCCAGCAATCCCCTTTCCTGGTGGTCCAAGCTGCTCTGTGGCCCAGAATCCTCGTCGGTGCCCTTTTCAAAGATGAGCTGATCAGGTTCTTCTGCTCACACCCCCACCCTTGACCTTGACCTTTTCCTGTAAGAACATGGTTGGGAAAGGCCGTCTTCCCCACCGGACTTAGGACTGCATGCTCTTTGCACACCACTGTAGCCAGAATTCCTGTCTAGTGCCCAGCCCAGGGTGGGCGCTTCACCAGCCGTGTAGGATGAACAGAGCAGCACCGCCTGGCACAGATGCCAGCCAGGGCCCTGAGATGAGCTTGAAGTCGGAGCTTTCTAGGACGCACCATGCAGGCCCCTGTCCCAGCAGCTCAGCAAACGTGCTCTGAATCTGCCCACGTGCAGCCAGAGGGTGAGCCTCGGCCAGACCATTCATTCAGAACTGTGCCCGAGCAGGCTTCCTGGCACCCCCACTCCTGCCCCTTCAGCTCCCCTTTGATTTGTCTTACATGCTGGATGTCTCCAAATTTAAAGGAAGAGTTTCTCTTGCATTAAAAAAAAGAAGAAGAAGTTTGCAAACCAGCAATGCAGGGGAAAGGACAATGGGTGCCGGCCTGACATCTGGGTCCTCACCCCTCTGGCCACGCTGCCTGCACTATCACATGGAGTCACAAGGCCTCCTTACAGGGTTCACGCAGCTGTGTATACAAGCTCCCTGCATGGCAAGTGCTCGGCCGACGTTCTTTGGTGCTGCAGTTAATAGCTGATCCTCTCAGGGCTGTGAGCGCCGTGGGCCTTGGTTCCTCACTCACTGCTGGTTTTTCCAGCACTGGGCACAGACTCTGAGGGGCATCTCTAGTTTCTAGAACATTCCCTGCTTTACCTCTCATGCACGTGCTTTCCTAAGGCCCTACCCCGTGCTGAGATGACATTTGCACCATTCCCCACACCTGGTTCCCTGACCAGGCATTAGGAGCATGCCTCTCAGAGCCAATCCTCCAGCCCACCCCCAACTTAGCCAAAGCCCAGCTCCTGACTTAGATGCGTAGTTAAACCGAGGTCTGGGAAACCCGCCTCTTCCTATGCAACCAGCTCCCCACTCCCTCACAGAGCCCCCAGGGCTGCGGGTGTGCAGCCTGCATTCTGGCCAGGCAGATTCCAGCCCATGTCCTTCTGCACTTTGGGAACCCCTGGCAGAGATGGCAGAGCCAAAACAAGGAAGGAGGAATCCAGGCCAGGAGAGCTTGTAGCATCATCCTGGCCACCCACGTGGCTGCAGCGTGGGGAGGCGGTGCGGGGGCCGACCTCAGAGATTTATCTCCAGGACAATGCCCTGGAGCCCCCCTCTCCCCTCCCACCCAGGCCCAGGCTGTTTCTCTCTGTGAGTCAGGACCTCTGCTTCAGACCCATCCGAGACATGCTGTTCCTCTTGCTTCCTCCTCAACTGCTTGCTATTCAGGATCCTCAAGAAACTGACTTTGAACTTGGGGACGGGCTCTGCCTTTAGGCAGGTTGGGCTGAGTCCCAACTCTGCCTGGTGTCTCCCAGCTGTGTGAGCTTGGGGGAGTTACACAACCTCCACAAGCCAGGGTTCCTCGCTTTTAGTTGGAGATAATGATATTATCAACTGCCCGAGGTTGTTTTCCTTAATGAGATATACAGGAACAGGCT